CCCCTTTAGTAAGAAAAATCATTCATGTAAGGTCCGTTCACTGCTAGGGCTGTAAAATTTCGGATCCATTTTTGTTCGTTTGAAGGTTCTAACACATATCGACGGTGTAAAGCCGTATTTTCCTCCAAACTGGCTCGGAGCCGTCGCGCGGCGCCGGTTGCCATTTGATTGCGTGGAATATATCGCAGTTCGGCCGCCGCGCGCCGCCGCGCCGCCGGTCGCAGAACGCGGCACTGCTCCGGGAGCAGTGCCGCGTCCAAAGCAGTACATGGAATCAAATGGGAGACCGGTCGTGCGCCGCGCGCGACGTCGCAGCGTCAGTTGGAGGAAAATACGGCTTAAGTCGGCAATCACATAACTCGTTTGCGGTGTCTGAAAATCTCTGCCTCTATGATATTTTTTTAAAGGAGAACAAATTGACATCATTCCTTGAAGTTGATACAGAATTTTTTTCGCACAGAGAAGAAAAATCACGACAATTTTAAAGAATTGCTGTTGAATAGTTTACCGATTAAAAAATAAAGTATGACAGGAAGTCTGCGACGTCGCAAACCGAGTTATGTGATTGCCGACTTACACCGTCGATATTTCTTTTCCCCTTAGGTGCGAAAGCACACGAATAGACTTGAATGAAATATGAGAATAATATTGTCTCGGAAAAATCACGGCAGATTTTTAAGTGTCCCTGTTCATTTATTCGTACAAAATAGGCGAGAAAAAGGTAGGTAAAACGTCGCGAATTGAGGTATGAATGTTTTTTACCTCACCGTCAATGCTGAAAAAATGTGTTCCTCTACGCACAGAGGATAGAGTATAATATCAAGTGGAAGCGCGATCTCCTGCCATCATCAAGTCGAAGCGATACTGGTGATAAGGCGCTCTGAGCAACTATTCCACCACGGAAGTATTGCACAGTATCAGACGAAAATGAAGGCGTACTAGCGTTTGTGAATCGACTGGTAGTATCGTCTACCTCTGCGTAGAGTCCTACTATCGTGCGATACGCGGCTTTTATTCGATCGATGTTTGTGAAACTTGGTTTGAAGGCTTTTACTCATACTTTTTTCTCCCTTAAATCGATAAAATCTGGTTCAAACAACAGACATTCGCGAAAACTCCGACCAGTTCGTCTTTTTCTTTCCATTTACTCTCTCAAAAATCGAGATAAGTACGTGGTCGCGGGCTTTCACCGCCGATGTGTTTTCATTTTGGACTGCTTAATTGTCAATCGATAGATAAGAATCGATCGATTTTTTTTAGTATCGAGCCACTTTCTAATAGCAAATTATTAGCACTTTCAATAACGTACGTCCAACATTGAGACGCTGAAAAATAATTTGAAACCAAGCAATACATTAGCTCCGAAGTCTTCCCGAAACTCCCTGGTAAATATTGGCGATAGGAGCTGCGTTTCAAAATACTGTAAAAATTCTTATAGCCGGCTAAAGGAGGCGATAGAAAATCATATAGCTGGATGTAGAAGCGGAGAAAATCATAGAGCCGGGCTATACGAAGCGATAAAAAATTATGAAGGCGGGCTACTTACCTATAGTTCCTATCGCCGGATATACACCTTATCGCCATCTGCTATGAATGGCTATAAGAAATTGTGTAGAAATTCGTGTGCTTTGAAAATCATTAAGTTTGATACGGAACCACCTTAATATTTACAAAACACACATTATATTTTCATTTAATACCTATTTTTTTTTAATTAATTAAAATGAGAATAATCCATACAGAGCGTGCAAACATTTCAAAATAATGAGTTGAAAAACGCTGACTCCTCCAGATGAAATATTAGAGCCTACCATAAAGCGGAGCGGCGACGCACTGGCGCCTACAAACCTAACAGGGATACTTCACGCATTGCGCAACGCGTGAAGTATCCCTGTTAGGTTTGTAGGCGCCAATGCGCGTTTCGCGCTGGCCACCCGCCCGCCGCTCTGCAGCGTGCCACGGCGCTTGAAGCAACTATTTCACACCAGAGGTATTGCACAGTATCCTACGAAATTGAAGGCGCGCTAACATATTAGGAATGGCAGGCATCCATCAAAAGTACGGAGCTTTCCTCGCAAAATAAATCAAGATACTACGGCCCCAAACAGAGAGCGGTAGTCCAAAAACTCACTAAGTCCTAGCATCCGTAATTAGTAACATTATCGCCTGGCTGTTGCTTAATCGCCACCGGCTATGAAAGGCTATAAGAAATTGTGTAGCCGGCTATAGAAGCCATTGGAAATCTTACAGCCGGCTGTAGGTCTATGGTATTTTGGAACACAGATTCTACTGCCGATTTTTACAAGGGCTTATCTTCGCCATGGCAAAAGAATAATTCTCTGAAAATTTAAAGACATTGTTGATCAGTGTTACTACCTGATGTCTTCGAAGTAATTTCAATCAATTTATTTGTTACCAAAAATGCGAGTGGAAGGTAAATGTTAAACTTTCGCAATGGACGTACGTGTTTTTACGGCTTTATCTTCAAACAGCCTAACTTATGAAATTTCACCCCTTTGAAACCAAGTAAATCAGTGCTGGCGCTAATCAGCTTGTCTGCTCAGTTTGTCTCGAGTTCTCGAGGAACGCGTCGCGTGTGTTGTTGGTGTGATTGAAATTAGGCTTTTTTTGGCACATGTAGTAGAGTCTTGGGGTTGTCAGATAGGGCTATCCCATTTATATATTCCCCCCTCCCCCCATCAAGATCTTCGTCGAAATACAAATAAAGACAAATTTCAACAAATTCAATTGAGGGTATACAGTTACCTACTTAGAAAAATTGAAATAGGTACTGATATTATCGACGAATACTCTCGGATTTTTTATCCTTGTTTTTCATTAGGTAGATCCCCTTGCCTGCGATATTTTTTCATTACCAAACCGATTTGCGGCCTCTGATAATCACCATAATGTTCCGACAGTTGATGTTGATGGTGCTGCTCTAATATTTGAAGAAATTAATCGTTTTATGCGGTGGTCGTTTGTCTCATTACTGAAGCCAATTTTGGTCTCCTATCTGAGGACTCAACTAGTGTTGTTGATTTTTTCCGAAAACTCGATTAAATCGGAAATTTCGATTCCGTCCAAAAAAAAATATTTATCGCAGTAAACCAGGGCCAAATATCGATTTTCAAGAAAATCGCTCTGAAAAAAAAAATCGATTTTTAGGAACACGAAAAGTATTGTGCCGTTCATTTTTAAATAAAATCTCGTCTCACTGATCGTTAGTTTAATCGTCCCTTGAAATGGCATAATGGCTTCCTTCAGTTTTAAAGAATGACATAGGCTTATTGCTTCCTTAATTATTCAGGAATACAATTTTTGTTTATAGAAATAAAAAAATCGACAAATTTCGATTCGTGAGTGAAAAATCGATTCAACGGCAAAATTGCGTGCCAAAAATCGATTCAATTTAATCGATTATTCTTTGCAAAAAATCGATTTCTTCCGTAAATCGAAAGAAAAACAACAACACTAGACTCAACCACTTGGCACTCACCTAGTGCACACATCCTAATCATGCGATTATTTCCTGTTTTAATGGAAAAAACCCGAGCTTTGGCATCGGCGGGTGGGAACATTTGTAGGAGTGTCAGCTCGACAACGGCGTTGAAAATATAACCGGGCTCGATATTAATTTTACACGCTTCCCGAGCGAGTTTGTAATATAAGCCAAACATTATGCGATTTTTGACGTTTACAAATCGGCCCGTCAAAATGTGGCCAACCCTTGACGGGGGTCGGAGGCTGCCCGGCTGCGGAGACTTTTGGACGTGCACCTCCGGAGAGTGTCGCGGTAATTAGAATTGTTCGTCTGCGCGGCTTAAATTGAAAATAGTTGTTGACAGGTATCATGTGCAGCGTGATTATCTTGTCACCGCGTCTGAGAATGTTGCATACGCGGCTCAGTCAGTGGCGTGGCGTGAATTGCGATATATCGATTGTTATGCCATTTAAACCTATGGTAAAGAATCGATTATTAAGGTGTTCGCTGCGAACACCCTGTTTATCGATCCTTTTACATAGGTTTAAATGACAGATCAATCGATATATCGCAATTCACGCCACGCCACTGGGCTCAGTCATTTATAGTCTAACGTGTGCATAATGACGGGGGCACCTGCAAATTTTTCCGTGCCCCCCGGATTATTTTCCCATTTTTAAAACGTATTTTTATAACTATTTCTCACAGCTTACTTTTTTCACTCGCGCTTTTTGTCAATGGCAAATTGAAACGTGAGGGCATGTGAGAATAATTGATTTTAGCGTTCAAAATTAGAACTGGGTTTGAGAGAGAGAAAAAATGACAAAATGGAAAGAAGGAGAGGAAGAGAGATCGATTACGATGGCGCTCTGATAGATTTGCCTCCGGTGCTTAAAAACAATACTTCACTCGTTTGCGAAACTCATTAGCACGGACAAATATCAGCGAAGTCTGAAATCGTGGAAAAAAAATATCACGTTTTATTTGAAATATGCTGCTAAGGAGGAACGTTGCACGGTAGATCGAGACCATGAGAGAGGTCGGCCAAAATTTGGAAACTTTACGAGCTTATAACTACGTTTATACAAAACTCTGAGGTTTTAAAAATGGTTCTACTGGTAGTCTCGTGAAATTTTCATCTAGCAGCACCCCATATTATTCAAAATGTGACGGAATAAACATCAAAATCTGCAGTTTTAGTCGGAAATTTCATGTCCGTCCTCTCTAACTGACTCGATCCACTGTGCGCCGTATCATCTTGTAAATATTGCCCTTGA